TTGCACTTGGGAAATCCTCCCCTTGCCGATGGCGATCCAGCCAGCGTACATCCACAGCTCTGCGCAAGTCTCACAGTCACTCCAGCTGTTAGAAAAGTCTATATTTATCCTTTATGAAATGTGAATAAGTGGTTTCTTATCGGCTCGTATCTCTCCAGATGCGAGGGGATCTCATCTGTCAGGAATGTATTTAGAATTTTGTCCGATGCCAAAATTGCAAAGCTATAAAAAATATTCCCAGCCTTACTAATGCCTGCGTGATTCTGATTTTTCCTCTTAAGCTTTGCTTATCTCTCTTCATGCTTTTCCGGTGCTTTCTGTTTTTAAACTGAGGAAGAACATTATCTCACTCATAATTCAGTCATTCAGTGTCCCACCTCTGAGAGTGGCCGTGGCCTGGTGAAGAGCCAGGTAAGCCCGGAATGGAAAACTATGAAATGATTTGACCACAGTTAGAGATATTCCCCAGAGTTTAGTGTCTGCTCTGTGTCTTGAAAAAGCTTTAGATCCTGCCTGTTGCTACAGAGTGTTCATTCATATGCAACTATGTATGTGTTTATTTGCTTCCCTTAAAAATCTCAGCTCTGCAGATCAACACATTCTCTTTTACGGTCTGTAAAGACAAAGAAACTGGAAATGGAAAAATTAGTCTTTCATCTGTCTCACTCTCTCAGTGCTGTGATATTCCTATATAATCCATTATTATGTTTTTTACTGGAGCTGGAAATCCCCTAAACTTCTTTCATTTCTTCTTTCATTTCATTTTTCCTGGCATTCAGTTATGGTTTTCTTTTGCTCAGATACGCTGTGTGCTGTACTGCCTCGAACAACCACACCATGACTTGCATACCGTCAGCACTCCGTCAGTATTTCTCTTCACTTGTTGGTCAGCCAGATCAGACTCAGTTCTCTGTCTGTCTAGCAGAGGTCTGTCCTCACCGTTTCATTCCTCCTGCTCTCGTACGGATTCCATTCAGCGTGTCAGCATCTTTCCAACAGTGGGGTTCCCAAGGTGGTGAATAGCCCTCTGGGTTCTGTCTAAGGAGTTTTTCTACTACAGAAAAGGTCTTAGGGCATAAGGAACATTAATTCATTGCCTGTCTTGTTGGTGGGCAGTGAGCCCAATCCCCCTGGCATCATAAAACTCAAGCTAAAAGACTAGGGTTGAAAGGCTTAGCAGTGCTTCAGTGAGTAGGAATGCAATTTCCACTGGGACCGGGGCCACAAATAGACAGTAGTGTTGCAAATCTGAGCATCATGTCATCTGCTTTTTAGGCAACTTGCCACCTTCTTCTCCATATTTCCGAGTGAGCTGTCTGTGCTCCCTGTCAGGGGATGGAGAGCGCTGGGTGCCCAGTAATGGGACAATGGGGGTCAGAGCATTAGAGATCCAGGACACGAGCAGGCAATTCATCATGTTAGATGGATCGATAGATCAAAGCATCTATCCTACACATGTCCAAGGGTTTTCCTTTGGACTGTGGTGTTCCCGTCATGCATGTGGCTTGCTGCCCAGGGGACCGGTCATTCGTGTGATCCAGTATGTACTCCTGGGTGCTGGAGTGCTGCTGATGCTCACCTGGAGCAGAGCCTCCCATTTAGTGGCCTTCAAAAGAAAGCTCATTCTCACATGCCAGAACCGCTCTGCAAATCCAACCAGTGAGCAATAAGCGGAAATTATCAGGGAATTTGTTTACAAACTGCACTACTACTCCTGCAGTGCCAAGACTACTCCCATGTTTGTCTTTCAGAGATTTTAGGGGCACAACGGTGGAAACATGCCACTGAATTGCTGGTCTTGGTTGTTTTCAGATGCTAAGCACAACGGTTACTTTGTCGCTGCGGTTCTGTGCTTGTCCTGTGAAGGAAGGGTTTCAAGGCTATCAATGGACACTTTCCAAGAAGTCTAGACTCATTTTATAAAGGCAGAAAGCAATTGTCTCACATTTTGCTGTTCCACAGGTCACTTGGCTTTTGGAACTCATGCTTTATAGCACAAAGTAAGGAATGTTATAATGACCCAGACAAGTATGGGTTGTCATGCTTGAGCATTTCTTTTATTATTTGATTGTCTAATATTCTTTAGAGGTAATTTCTTACACACAGTCTTATACTAATTTGGTAAAAAAGATACCAGCAGAAGGGGAGTGAGGGAGGAGAAAGAAGTGGATGTGCAGAAGGTGGGTATGCATGACAGATCAGGGATGAGATGACATATTTTGTGTGTAGGCTACAGGGGTAGGACTGGTTTTGTGAACAGAAGGGAATTAAAGACCATAATGGCAGGAATTATCTAAGCTCCAGCACGGAAAAGCAGAGAAAGTCTGAGACTCAAGAAGAACTGATAGTAATGAAGAAAACAAGAAGAGGAGATCAAGCAAAGACACAATAGAAATGAAAGCTCATTTATTGTTATTTTCCAACCAAAACAGACCATTTTTTTTCTCCTTGAAGTATATGGTATGTGTTTCAGCTGATCAGTTCAGGACAAGGAGAAAAAAAATCACTGTCAAAGCTTTCATTCACTGAAAGATGTAGTTTAGAGTAGATGAAAATATGTGTGGATTAAGCACATAGATTTGTCTATAACAAGAAAAAAGTATTTAGAAGTGCTGGAATAAACATTTTCATAATATCCACAGCAACTTTCATTACTCATTTGAGATAAAGGCAAAAGTTTAAATTCAAGCAGTAAGAGTATCAACACTGACTGCTACTGGTGTCATCCCAGCTGAAATCCAGGATGCATCCTTCAGGATACAGGAGACCTTGGTTCAAGCCCTTTCTCTACATACAGACATTTGCACCCATATCTCCTACCATGCTGCTCTGGGCTTTCATGGATGTGTTGGGGAGTGCTGCTTTTGCTTGCTTCTGCTGACACCGTGCCTTTTTCCATGTACATTTACTTTGCACGTGGATATATATTGTTGTAGAGATGGGCCATTCTTCCTAGTGTGGTGCTCAAGGCACCAGGTGATAAAGCCATCCTCTCATGCACAACCTCTCTGCTGCAGCAGGCTGCAAAATTTTCCAAGGAAATCTAAATGAGCAAGAAAAAACACTGAGAAACAATTCAGCCGACAATAGCTGGTTGGCTGGGATGCTTTCCTGAGAAGGAGGTGTAATTCTGCCCAGGACTCAAACCAATACTTGACTGTTCATGGGTGAAGGCATCTTTCACTCCTTCAGCTGCTTTGGGAACTGGGCATTTCAGTGTGCTGAAAATGGCAAATAGCAAAACTTCAGGGACCATAGGCAGTAACGACATCTAAGGATATGAAGAAAGGTGCTCCAAAAAGAAATGATTTTCAGATTTTCATTTAAGGAATGAGAAACTGGTACAATTAATGTTGTTCCTTTTGTTTAATGTGAGGTTGTCCAAGAAGAAAATAACCACATTTCTGATCAGATGATGTACTGAAAACACAGCTACCGACCCAGCCCTAGATAGTGATTTTCTTGAAAATGGTGCTTCCACAGCCTTGAAGTGCTACAGAAGCACTCTGACCCTCAGTGATTTCAGGGGCCCACCAATGAGACAACTTGCAAAATCATGAGGATTGACAGCGTAATGTCTGCCAAGGACATTCAGCAGTCTCAGTAAATGAATGAGCTGAGTCTCCTCTACCTCCCCATCAAAAGCCATCATACCCTAAAGGGCAGCTGTGCCAGCTGACCCCAAGCAGAGATTCCACCTCAGTCTTAACAGCAAACCTGGCAGGGAACCAAGTCAAGGGCAAAAGAGAGACCTCCCCCGCCTCCACATTGTGGCATGTCCCAGTCTAATTATACGTAGCAGCTCAAACTCCATCTTCAAAAATACTGTAAAAATGTCCCATTTCCCTGCTGAATTAACATACTTATGTGAGCAAGACTGTCAGGGCCCTTTGTAGAATGATACCTTTAGTACAAATGAAGTAGCGTCTGGCTGGTATCTGTCCCTTTTTGTGTGCTTGTTCCTCCACTTCCAAGCAGTCACAGCATCAAGTAGTGGTACTTGAAGGAGGTGCCAGTTGCCCAGCAGAAGTGGTCTTCAGCCACCAGCTATCAAAATTACCCTGCAGATTTCAGGCAGAGTTTAAAGCAGTCGCTTCAAGAAGGCTTGCCTATTGATACGTCTTTATAAGAGTCCACAGGTCCTTGCTGAGAGACCTATATGAACCATTGCACCTGGCGGTGTGCAGATGCAGCAATCCCTTCTGCTCTTATGTGTGAGCCAGGCAAAATGGGTGACTTCTCAGTAGTGCCCAAAGCCCATTTGCAGAAGGGACTTGGACATTCAAGCCCTCCCAGCCCTGTAGCAGCTATATGCTCTGTTCCTCCTGTGAATTTACCAGGTGAACCTGGGTCTATGCCGGGTGAGAAGAGGCTGTGCAGAGTGAAGCTGGCTCAACTTGTCTTTCTTCTCAGAGAGGTACTCCTAAACTTCTTTGGCAAAGGCACGTGGCCAGCCTGTCCTCAGGTAGCAATCTGTCATTTTATTGGTATGTACTGCAAAATGTCTCCAGATCCCCATGTTCCTGCTGGATGTTGAGGAATCAGTGGCATGCACACCAGAGCCTGGAAATCCGAGCTGCTTTGAGGAGGATGGAGATCCCCCAGTGGACTCTCTCAGAGGAGATCGGTCTTTTTTTCTGGCCCTACTAATATTTCATGTCTTCACTGCTGCCTGTAGCATGGTTTAGGAGTACCAAAACTAGCTGTAAGCAAAAGCTTAATACCAGCTAATTTAGCTTAATTGCTCAATTTTCAACCAAAGCAAAAGTCTTGAGGCCTCTGGCATTGTTAACGTATGCTGGCGTAAGGCAGCTGGGAATAATGTTACTTAGGCTGGTTCCCTGGCTGTCTTCCCACTCCATACGTGTCCTACATCCACACACACACTGAACAACCAGGCCTGTCATATTTAACTACCTATAAAAAATTATGTTTAAAAGCTCCCTAGTGATCCAAGCTTGGAAGCAGCCAAAGGGTGACTAGACTAAATGCAGACTCACATGCACGAGCTACGTGAGTCCGTAGCTCTGCTACATTATGCTGCCACAACAGTACAGACAAAGCACATTCCACATTTATGGAGCTCTTTCAGTTTAAAGAGCTAAGTGGTATTCTATTTCCATGTATAAGAAGCTAATTCATTTGACTCTGTGATGTACTCCAGATAATTTGCTAGATGCGTGTTAGATGTACAGAGGAAGAAATTCTCTTTTTAAAGTGTGTTTTCCACTATACATTATGCCAGCACTCAGTGATACTCCCATGCAGTAACCTACAGCATGAAGTCTGACTGTAAGGAGTGCACCTAGACTAGCACGAGCTCTTTCTGGCACCGAGTGTTTCTGCCGCATCCCAATGCGATGGGTGTTGCCATACACATTTTCCTGCACGTCAGTCTCATACGGGTCAAGGAACTGTAAATATGAAATTGTTTTGTCATCTGCCTGTCAAAAGAGAGGAGATTATTGTCACACTCAAAATAGCCATGATGTCACCCTGCGTGTACATCCAGCAGAAAGCAAAACAACGTTTAGAGCCGTGGAAGGGCTGCCAAGACCCCATAGCAAATGCAACATCTGAGCTGAGATTTTGATACCGAGGAAAGCGGCATGGGGGTAGACAGACTTCTCTAACATTCTGGAGCTCCAGATTTTAAAAATAGCCTCGTGGTTTGATCGAGAGTATCATCTCCTTACCCTGTATATTATTCACACTCTCCTTAGTATATACCAACTATCTTAGATGTTTAATTTTCTGGTTGGGATGCTAAAGTCCTCTCGGATGTAAAGACCATAGGAAGCACGGACGATACTACTGCATCACATGCACTATGTTTTGCAATTTACCTGCACAAATGTTGTTAATTTTGTGTAGGGAGAAATGAAAACGTAGCCAAATTCAGTCCCAGTCTGTGCCATAAGAGCTCTTGCTCTTAGACGCATAGCAGGACTTACCTGAACCCAAAGAGAGGCACGACCAGCAGCACATCAGGATTTCTCCGTGCCTCTGTGCCTGCGTGGGTATCCTCCTCGGTGCCTAAGAAGTTCCAGTACATCTCCAGGCTGCATTTTTCTGGTTCCCAGTATGCCCATTCTGCCTTGCAAATCCATAAATGCTGGCTGTAAATGTGGCGTTTTGGACCCTGAGCGAACAGAGCAAAAGATTACCTTGACCTAGCAGGACAAATTACACTTTTTTACATCTTCTGCCAGCTCAAAAGGCATAGCTTGAGCCCACCATCAGATCCAGTGCGTGGTGCTCCACCATATCTGTGCTGCCACCTTCCCGTTCTCTTAGCAACACTACATGGCACTTTCACTCACAAGTGGACAAAAAGACCAAGCTACACAACACTGAATGAAGACTTTGTGTGTCTGGGGATACTGCAGGGTTTGTTCGTGGGTCTCATGGAAAGGAGCAGCATTAGCAGGAAGCTCTCTAGCAATGGGCATCTTCCACCTTGCTGAGGCTCAGCAGACCGCACAGGTAACAATGCTGGGACTGGTAAAAGTGACTGTGTGGCCAAACTGATGCCCCAAAGAGAATTCAAAGCCAAAGAAATTATCACACAATTCTCACTAGTAAAAAAGTAAAGCACGCAAGAAGTGGACAAGGAGAAAGGCTGAGGTTTTCCGGCTCGGCTTGACTTTCAGCGGCTGGTTTTCGCATGCCTCACCAGACGTGCCAAGAGGGTGGGTGCAGATTGCGAGTATTTACACTGCATGTGCTCATTTTTGGTGCCTGATAATGGGGACACTGCAGTGTGACTGAAAGCCCCGACGGCAAGGTGCCACCGTCAACCACCATCAAACCTTTCTGCTGTTTCTGGCATGCTGAGATCAGCAATCCATGTGCAACGACTGCTATTACTGTCATGCCAGCGTCTTGTTCAACAGAGAAGTTTTTAGGCTGTTCTATGTTGTGTCCAGCACATGCCTGCTCCTCAGTGGTACTGGGAGGTATGAGTGATGTGCACTGGTTGGGTTGACATTCTGAGGGATGGCCTGGAGGCTTCCTCTGAACCAGATTAACCTGAAATCCATGTTGTGAGCCTGCAAATACTGCCTGCGAAACAGCCAGAGCAGGACACCAGTAGGACCCCACTTACCTAGCCACGCACTGCATCTCCCAGGAAGCCGTCACATGCATTCCCAGAGCATCTCTCCATGAAACAGCCACTGGCAAAGATGGTGGCAGGATGCAAAGTCCACTGTGCTTATGGCTACTCAGAGGCCAGACTTTCATGCCAGCATAGGTACAATTGTTAGAAGAAAAAACCTTTCTGTGACAGGACTGGTATCCTCCTCTGAGCCAGGGCTCTGGCTCCTTTGGGTTCTTCCTGGTATCCTAGCTGCAAATTCTGTGTTCTTCAAAGAAAGGAGGGAAAACAGACCTTCTGCAACACACTTCTCTGTCAGGAGAGCTTTCCCACTAGCACAGGCCAGACATCATTTTTGTCGTACTTTTGTGGAGTCTTCGCTACACAGGGGGGAAAGAGGAGGGCAGCTGGTTATGTCCCTGCCCTGTCTGGCCATGCTGTCACCCTCAGCACCATGGCTCCTTCCATCTTTGCTGCTGGTTTGCCAGCACAAACTCCCCATCACTTCTACGTGGGGCTCTGCCCGCCTTCAGAGGCTCCACATCACGCCCTGCAGCAAGTCTGGTGGGCAGGTGGGGTGGGAGCCCCTGCATTGCTTTCTAAAGGGTCTCAGGCTCAAGAGGGGACCAATGCTTACGGTACCTCTTAGACCCAGGGAGGAGCTTCCTATTCCAACAGCTCATTCGAGGTGCCATCATTTAGTTAAAGTTTTTCCACATGTTGTCTGAGAGCCATTTCTGTTTCTTTTTCAATGGAGTCCAATGAGATCACAAAACAATAACCTACTTTCTCTAAATGGTGCCTTTATTGCCATGTTTGATAAAATGCCGTTATTTAAATTGACCTGTAACGCCTGAAGGGGGTGACTTAGAACCACCTAACTTTCTCCCAGTTTGCCGTGAAACCACTGCCAAATGCTTCTTTGAGCATTTCTAAACTCAGTTTGTCAGATTTTCATTGCTCATACTGTTGATCAGGCAGACAGAGGCACATTTTTCCAGTCTTGCTTTCTACTCATACCATCTTTCCTCTGCACGAGTAGTGATTGTAACTGAAGGCTATTAAACTTCAATTAATTCAAATGTAATGTGGTTCTCAAACAGTCACTGCTGGGGCTCCAGTGCCTACTCCTATCTTAGGAAGTCACATTTTAAGCCCATTTTCTAAATTCATTCTGTGTTTGCATGTGAGAATCCCTGTGACTGTCTCTGCTTAATCACCTTTCTGTGAGGTGCACTGCAATAGGCTTGTGCATGCACTTTGGCACCAAATTCCCATCGATCAGGTCACCGTGGAAGAGATGGATGCCGTGACAGTCCCCAGGGCACCCAGCATGGTTGGCAGCCCAGAGGTGAGGCAGATGATGGAAGGATGAGGCTCAGGGACTGAACCAAAAGGCAAAAAGCAGATGCCAAAGGGGATGACACAGCCCCAGCAACTTCTGTATACCCATAAACCTGAGGTCCTACAACTCGGCCCTGCTGGCAGATGCCCCATTGAGAGGCAGGAGCAAACACGACTGTCCTGCCCTCCTCTCCCACTGGAGAAGCCACGGAGGGGAGCACGGCAGGGCATTTTCTGTCTCCACACATGTATTAACACCAGCGGGCAGAGGACACCTCCCTTGGTCACCCTGAACCCCATCTTTGGGGATTTGGCTCACCTTACGTCCGTGGTAAGGCAGAGCAATGCTGAGAGTCATTCCCCCATCAGGAACTGAGAAACAGGCTGCAGTACTCCATGGCCGCCCCGGCGTTTCTCAGAAATGAAAGATGTGCTGACCCTGCTGATCTGGGTGGCTTTCCAGCACAGGGCAGCGTCCGGACAAGCTCCCCACATAGCTCGACAGGCAACGGAGAGGTGACAGCAGGCATCCTCACCTAGCCCTTCTCTCTCTGCCCCCCAGCTCACTCCTGCCAGCCCCACATCCCACCACTGCGGCCGCTGCCGGCTGCTGGGGTGGCCTCCGGGACCCCGACTCCAACCT